TGTGTGTAAATTTTTGTGCATTTACACAAGACATTGGAATTGTTGTTATAACTTTGAATAGAGATGAATGCTTCTTCAATTGTGTCCATAAAAATATTCGCATGGAAATTCACAATCCGATTATACACGTGTAAGTTTCATCGTGTATGCTACTTATTCAGATTATTTTCTGACATCAATTTTTGTATTTTAATTATTAAATCTCAGTGAACCGAATATAGTAATAATTCTCACTAACGACGGTCGAATTCTAATGAAACGCAACGTTCGCTGAATTTAATTATAATTAATTCTCATTGAACACGCAACTGCGTAGCAAAAGTCCCGAGAGAACATTTTTTTTTTTTTTTTTTTTTAATAAAAACCACATCGAAAAGGAAAGCACGAATGTTCTCGAACACGAGAAGTGTAATTTCAATCGTTTCAATAATTAGGGTCGATTAGAACGGTACCTATAATTTCGAGCAGTCAGAGAGGGAACGAACGACACGTTTAAAATAAGAATTTAATTGAACAGTGAAATTTCACACGAGTCGAAAGTCAGTGGGCCGCGCACGAATGGCAAACATCGACCGGAAGTTACGATTTTTCCCGCGTTTCCACGAGTGTTGCTGCGGCAGGGAAAGGCTGCTTCGTGCAGTTTTCAGCGAGGGTTTCGTCGAGCGTAACTGGATTCCGTGTGCACGCGTGTCGCTATACCGAGAGCCGTCGATATCGAAAGTAAAAGGTGACTCGCCTTGTGCCTGTTCTTACGTGCCTCGTTCCCGACTAGTTTATCATGGTCAAACGTTGCGAAAGTGGAGTCGATTTCGTGCGTGGCGCACCACCATAAGGCATAAGTCGACAACCATCGATTATTCTCTCGATCGTGTTTCGAAACGAGTTCTCGCGATAAAACGTGGTTTCTTGCGAAACGTGTTCGCAAATGTGACACTTGATCCCCGTGTTATTCGCGCGGATTTCCTCGCTATCGCGGATCTTCTTGGCCTTCGAACGTTGCTAAATGAGTTAATTGAACGTAGGGATTGAACTTAATGGTAGCTTGCTGTAAATAAATTGGACAAATGGCTCGTTTTCTTTTCCAGATCGGAATACTAATTGATTACAATTACAATTAACATTAAATTATCGTCGAGGAAACTAGCTATTAATAAAGTTATTAATGTTAGTTATTAACAAGTTTACTAAAAATTACACGTATAGTCTTAAGATTTTAAACAAAGATCTATCGTGTCATTTTGAACCAATAATCTTAAAGTCACGATTGTTTTTTTTTTTTTTTTTTTTCGAAGCTTCAAATGTTACCACAATTTTCTAAATCTTACCAATTGCTGAAAGTTTCGCTGACGCGTACTATAATTTGCGAGAATTCAACCATTGAATAAATATTTCGTAAACGTTTGATTAATTCACGTGACGATTTATTGGGCGAGGCAACGTTCCAATAGCTGCATCGCTTTTCGGTGAAAGAAAGATGAATATTTCATGGGAACTTTTCAGGGACACGAGTTTGAACACGATGGCGGAAGTGCGCTCGAGGTACCACTTCGCGGCGCATATGGGTCAACTGATATCCGGCGTGGAAGGTCAGGGATGTCATAATTTCTACCCCACCTGCCCGCTGCCCGGCTCCAGCGTTCTCAGCATGATGAAGAAGATTCGCTTACGCTGACACCGCGGAGCCAAGCGGACAAACAATGAAAATATGCGACGGCGTAATCTGTGATATCGCAGACGACATTCTCTTTCTTTCTTTTCTTTGTAACGTTGCTACGACGAAGTAGCAACTTTTTAGAGTTGAAGGGTAATCTTTACTTATTGTTAGCTCTGAAAGATGGCCCATTCTTACGGATGAAATGAAGGAATTCATCATCGTGGAAAGAAAGGAAGATCGCGAGAACGAGAAAAAAGAGACGAACTGGATAAAGATTGTGTTGAAGATGATTGAGAGAAACTTGTGCCTGGATTAAGGAATGTACCCGAGTTCCAGTGAACAGTCATTGGATTAGACGATAGCGTTTAATCGATGTAAGATTGTTTTAAACTATTTTAGACTGTTTAAGTGAATCGAGTAGTATTTAATTCGCCTGACAAATCCCGCACGTTTAGAAGGGAAAATATAGTAATTATTTATTTCTTGTCGACGAACGATATTTGACTGTACGTTTTTTATGAAACGAATTTTCTGTATCATGAAAAACACAGTGTCGAGAGCGAAGCTCTTTCGAACATATTAAAAATCAATCATTACTTGTGTTTTACAAAAAATTTCGTGCAATGTAACATTCTGTTCATGTCAAGTTTCTTAAAATAATTTTATATCAATAATATTTAATATTTATTAATAACGTTTGTAATAATAATTTTCAATGTTATAAAAATAAAAATGTCCAGGCATTTACAGCAAATTTAAAGCCGAAAGTATTGTACTGATTGTAACATTTCGAAATGAAATACACGAAGATAAAACAAACCTCTATTTACATTTTTACCTTACAAAAAAACTTACATTTCCATATACATTCGTAGTTGTTTGATAAATCATCCAAAATCCCTATTTCTTTCTTCTTTATCAAAATATAAACCTTCTCTTTAATACTGCCTTCGTAAAAATATTAATTTCCCAAAAGATAATCTGCAGTTATATCTTGTGAATTACCCAAAAATCTACTCCAGTTTCTTATTCTTCAATTAAAATGTTCCATTTTCTTCCACAATTCTACTTCTCGATCTCGTTGCATAATACACGTCTATTTCGTTTATTAGTCGTAGTTGAATGTATAAGAATCGACAACCAAATGGTACCGTTTTTTTTTTCATTTTTATAAGTATTTGTTACTTGTTTAAACAAAGGGCAAAAGGTTCGAGTCTTATAATAATTCTTGTGCCCTGAGCAATGTAATCATCTGTTTGGGTAACAAACCGTTCGTAATTCACGAAGAACGAGTAGTCATTCGAGCACACCTTTGCTAATTTTCCAGCGATAATTCTTATTCTTCAATTAAAATGTTCCATTTTCTTCCACAATTCTATTTCTCTCGATCTCGTTGCATAATACTATTGGATTTCACGGAAG